CACTGGACCCAAAACATTAAATCTGCTTTCTCTCCACAGATGCTGCCTGACGTGCTGAGTTTTTTCCAGCAATTTCTAATTTTGTTTCAAGGGTAGAAAACTCCAAACATTCACCACCCTCTGAGTGAAGAAGTTCCTTTTCAGAAGAAGGGTCCAGACCCGAAACGTCAGCTTTCCTGCTCCTCTGATGCTGCCTGGCCTGCTGTGTTCATCCAGCTCTACACCTTGTTATCTTATAAAGATATCAAGCCAGGTTTCACTCTGGGACTTGACTTGCCCATTAGTACCATCAGCTGGGACTGTAACACAACAATATCCAAAAATACAAATGTAGGTTTCCATATGAACAGCGATTCTGTAGCTTTCTAACACACCTCCATTTGCTCATCAGATATCAAGTACTGAATGTGCAGATATTTTCTACAATTATATACTAGAGAAAATCAAAGTCCATAGTCTTCAATATCCATCACGGAACCCCTCAGTCCTTGGACAAAAGGCTGTTTATTTTTACAAAATTTTCCCTCTAATTCTAGACTCCACGAGGAAAATGTCCTTCCAACATTAACCCTGTCATACATCCTTAGCATCTAAATTTGAATCCTTCATACTGCCAGCAATAATTGATGCAGCTGACATTCCAGGATCCTGATACAGGATAGCTCTGCACAAATTCCATTCAGCCAACATTATATGTAAAGTTAGTCTTTAATCCTACAGGAGTTTCCTCTATCCTCGCCTTCAAAATGAACAAGGTTTTTTTTAAACTTGTCACCAAGTTGGTTCTACTGCTTTTGCTGCATCCTTCCCTTAACCTACAAAGTTAAGCTTTTTCTCCAACAGCCTCAGCACTGAACTCTCACCTTTCACTCTATCTTCATATACCTGTTCTAAGCTCAGCTTATTTCACAACCCCACTCCAACAAACATATTGCCTTCCAGGATTTCATGTTGGTGATACTGTAAAGGGTTCTCTCTGCTCTGGTATTGTTGTCCTCGTCCTCTCTCGATCACATTGTTCAAGTAAACTACCACCCTAATCACCAAGCATTTTTCTCTTCAAAATTCAGTTTCAAAACATTTTCATTTTTCTCAAGTTCATGCCCAAATCACTCTAATACCTCTCCTCCCACTGTCAAAACTATTTCCACTTCTGTAACTTTGCTTCCGTGTACACGTTTCCCCATCATGGCTGAAGCTCTCATCCACACTTTTAAAAAAGAAAATCAGAACTTACTTCTCCAATGTTCTTCACATTTTCTACACTCAATAAAAGTGAGGTCATTCACACTTCCCATATCCTGACACTCAACAACTTCTTCATCCATGACATTCTCAATTTTATAAGTTCTAATCCTCATGCTCAAATCCATCAGAAGGTGTGCCACACTTGTGTCATTTCAAATTCTATAGTCCTGAGAACTGTGCACCTTCCATTCCATCCTCTTGCACAGCCTAGCCCTGCTCATTCGACGATTGCTGGTTGTGCTTTCAGCAATGAAGACTCCAAGCTCTAAACATCTCTACTTCTTCATAGTGTTTTTCACCACACTTTTGATTACTTATCCTAATGTCTCTTTTCTCAGCTCAACTCTTAATTGATGAAGTAGCTTGAGACATTTGGCTACATTTTTAAAAAATGCTATTCAAGTACAGTGCTGCTATTGCTAATTTATAGTAGTGGACGCAAACTGTACAGTGTTTGCAATATAGAGGCCAAAGTAGTGACGAAAGAAGGGCAATTTTATACTCAACTCATGTTGGAATGGTAACAGTTAACAAATCATTAATTTTACTGATAGATCAGTATGACAACAACATCAAGTGTCTAGATTTTACTATTTAATGAGTTTCGATTCAACTTCTCACATTAGAAGTAACGATAGGACATTACATAGCTTTCAGTCAACAAAACGCAATTGGTTGGTTTTAGACCAGAATTGGAAAGGAACTGCTTAAAAAAAAACTTACTATGTATTACTTAAGACCGAATGTCCTGCATTATATTATGATCGTTAAACAACCACACAAGACATATTTATATTACTTTTTGTTGTGTGATTTGTTCCAACTACAAACACTAGATTTGAAATTTTTTTGCATATCAGCAATGTTAGTACATGAACTTGTAAAAACTATGGTCAGGTTATGATTTCTAGGATGCCTATCCTATACAGGAATGGAATAAAAAATATTTATAGTGAAAATACAACTGAAGCTGTGTACCTAGTCAAACTTTTGAATCCAGTTTTATAATTTACACTTAGCAACAAAATTGATATGGCTTACTATCCCAGTTGCAAAGAACTGTATTGTACAGGCTTGGTAAGTATATTACATTTAAGAAAAATCATGGTAGCTACAGGACCTGCATTTTCCTACTGTTTACACATTCTATGATTTAAACAATGATAGAAGTAGGGCCAGTCAATGTCAATGCATTGGAATAATTATTATGACTATATCTTGTTATAATCAGTGTTCACCAAAGAATTTTAAGAAAGGACTCTACACTAAGCATTAATTGGAAAAGTTACATCATAAGCCTTACTAAAAAACAGGCAGAGAAAATCAGCAAGGAACCACTGGATGGCCTTCACACGTAAATATCAAATGTTTTCAAGAGGCGTCAGATATAGTACTGTGGGCCAAAGAGATCAAAGGGGATGGGGAGAAAGCAGGAACAGGTACTAAGTTGGATGACCATAGTGAATGGTGCAGCAGGCTTTAAAAAGGCCTGTTTCTAAAGTGGCCTACAAGGCACTGTGCAAAAAAAAAAGGAAAAAAAAAGTTAAGCTTCTCATTTCTCACAACTAATCAATCCTTTGTCAAAACAACATGCAGTTAACAGCTATTTGATGAGATATTATTCTAATGCCTCCCATAAAACCCTAACATTATTATTTAGATTTACATCCAGACGTAGATGACATGACGAGGATGCAGAGATGTTACAATGTGATTTGGATGGCCTGAATGAGTGGGCAAATGCACAGCAGATGCAGTATCCTGGACATGAATGTGTGGTTATTCATCTTTGGCAGCAAAAATAGGAAGGCAGATTATTATTTGAATGTCTGTAAATTGGGGGGAAAAGTGTTCAATGAAACCTAAGTGACCTCATGCACTAGTTATTGAAAGTAAGCACGTAGGTGCAGCAGGCAGTAAAGAAAGCAAACTGAATGTTGACCTCCAAAGCGTACAAAATCCAAGAGGAACAACAAGGTCTCACATTGGTTAGACCACACCTGGAATATTGTGTGCAGTTTTGCTTTCCTTATCCCAGGAAGGATGTTCTTGCTGTAGAGGTAGTACAGCAAAGTTTTACCAAATTGATTCCCGAGATGACCGACATGTGGAGTGACTGCATTCTTTAGAACTGAATTCACTAGAATTTAGAAAAATGAGGAGGCAATCTCATAGAAACTTATGAAATTCTAACAGAACTAAGTAGTATAGTTGCAGGAAGGATGTTCCCAATGAGGAGTAGTGGTGGCTGAAAGGAGGAGAAATTTCTTCACCCAGAGAGTGGTGAGCCTATGTAATTCATTACCACAGAGAGTGGTTGATGCCAAAACATCGTGCATTTTCAAAAAGGAGGTAGGTATAGGTCTTGCAGTTAATGGGATATTACAAAGAAAAAAAAAGGGCAGGATTAGAGCATCGAGCTCAGCGATCAGCCATGAGCATATTGAATGGCAGAGCAGGCTCAAGGGGTTGAATGGCCTAATCTTGCAACGTTTCTATGTGTGACAAAATGTAATACACCCTGATACTTCAGATCAATATCATCTCAGGAGACTGAAAAGGACCAACAGCATGGAATCCAGAAAAACAAGAGTACCAGAGATCCTGCAGAATTTAATTGCAAGATTTATTGAATCCTGAATCTGTTGGCAAGCCACAACCAGCCAGTGTTAGGAATGGGCTGGGCAGGTAGGCCCTCAGCACAAGGTCACTGTCAGGAAGCAGTGAAGACCTAGGAAGATTGGACCTTTATCTGGATAACACTGGGGATGAGAGAGGCAGGGGAAATCAGAGGTCAGAGGCAGATCAATATTCAAATATAGAGAAACAAGAAATTAGATGGCTTGCAGAGGCATTCATGGAAGAAGGGATCATTAGGCAGATAGATGGATCCACAGAGGAAAGTCACTTATCTCCTGGATTTCAGAGCCCGGCCTCCTGTGTAACTGTTAGGTTCCCAAGGAAACAAAAACTCAGCCAATCAGAATTATGTTGGAATTAGTAGTTCCAAGAGTATGCTGCCTCATTAGAATACTTGAAATGCTAACCTGCCTCCCGTGAGGATATTGTTTGCCTGATCATGTCCTAACCCCAGTAAAGTCAGAGGTAGTGTGGATTCCGGATTAAAGTTTTTTATATGCATTTTAACACAGCCATTTTGAGGATCTAGTATTCCCCCTATAAATTGCTTCTCTCCCAACATGCTACCTGACAGATTTTTTTTGTTTGCTAGGTTTCATTGATCCACAGTAGTAGCCTTTAAAAATAGTAAAATCCTAATAAGCCAGTTAATACTTTTACAAACTCCCTCAAATGTAATCTCAACAAAATTGATTTTCTCCTTTATACCAAGGTCTGTGTTCAAACATACTTCTTGTTCAATGGGTAACATTTGCCCTGCCACTCTAAAGGAGTGTTAATGATCGTGAGGTTAGACTTTCCTCACTCAAGCGCAAGACCCACCTAGAGAGTGACATCCAATCAAATTGGAGCTCTGTTGCCCTAGCAATACCAGTAGCAGCAGTGGCCAGGAATAGGACTGCAGCAGCCCTGTAACTTCAAGTCCCTAAATCCAGACGTAATCTGGGGGAAGGGGTGGCACAGACCGGTGGGGATCTCTGAAAAGGCCGGGTGGTAGGAAGCACCTGTAGGGTTAGTCATATTGGGATGGGGGAAGGAGGGGGGATTTGGAGTAAGGCAGCCTCACCTGCCTTCCCATCAAAGGCTTACAGCAGGCTTCAACATTCTCAAACTTTTGAAAGTCAGAAGTGGAGGTCAAATGGAAAATGGTCCTCTCAGTAGCCAATAACTGGGAGGGAAGCATGAAGGCTTCTGGGAAATTTTACAGGCCCCTAGCAACCACGCCCCCCCAACTTTGCTGTAAACCCACTGACAAGAGGATGTAACGTTATGTCCAATAGAAATAAAGGTGGCTCACGTAAGAGAATTGTGAAGATCATTAAACAATTCAGATCATTTGATTCTGATTTGACCAAACATTCACAGTCATTTAAATTTGAACAAATAGTTTAACGTGACACCAGGAGGTATTTCTTTTAATGGCTGTAGTCAAGCAAAACGACAGTGTGGAAAATGTTAATTCCTGAGCTAAAATCCTTCCTATTGTGGAGACACCTGTATTATGGAGAAAAGAGGCAAAAACACCCGAACTGACCTCCAAAAAGATCCAGATCACTGGTTGTTGCTGCAGTAGCAGGAGCAGATGTAGAAGTATCAGCGGATGTAGGAGGAGTGGTCAGGGAAGCGTCTGCTACAAATGGATCAGAAGGTTGTGCCTCAGAGGCATTAGGGAGGGCAGGAGAAGTCAAAGAATCTGTATTACAAGCATCAAAAGTAAGAACGGGAAGAAAACTGAAAAACATTCACTTGAAGCCAAATTCCAATTACGTAGTTTACCAAACAATGCTACCATTAACGATGTTAATTGATTGGAAATGTTAATGAATTTAAATAAAATATCTTAAATTACTCACCTTCACCTAAAAGGTCTGTAATATCCATTGCAATGATGCAGAGCAAAGAAAGTGCAAAGAGATAATAGTTCAGAAAAAGTTTCATTTGTATTCAAAGAACATTAACAAAATAAGGATTTTTGGGACAGTTTTCCTCTTGAATTGATGTATAACAGCCAAGTTCAAATTATTTACCAAGAGTATCAAAGACAGTGCAACATTCAATATTACTCCAACATGCTTTTCACTCACAATTATCAAAATCCTTGCAGATTATTTGTTAGTTTACTGAGAACCGTTCAAAATAAAACCACAAGTTGACACCACCTGAAATTTTAAAACAAGATGGCAACGTAGAAATCCCAAATAATCTTTTCTTTCATCAGAGGGATTTTTTTTTTTTTTTTTTTAAAAATACACAGAGGATGTAGGTGCTTAGAACATATTGCCAGTTAGGTGGTAGAAGGAGATAATGATGGCAATGTTTAAGAGAGACATTTAGGCAGGCACACGAACAGGCGAGAGAAGTTCATGAGCCTTGTGCAGGCAGAAGAGATTCATATAGAACAGGATCACGGTTAGCACAGATGTGGTAGGCCGAGAAGCCTGTAATGAGATTTGAAGTAATTGACAGAGCCAAAAATGACTTAATATGATCACGTCAACATGTTTAACACAATTTCACAGGGTGAAATAATGTTTCAAATGTATTGTCACCAGCTCAATAAATAATTTTCTGTTTTGGCAGCATCGGAAAGGTTGCTTGTTTATGCCACACGTGGGAATACGGTTTTTATCCATTTGTATGTTACAATTTCACAACAGCAAGGGTAGCCAGTAATGCAACAAGTAGCAACACAAAACATTTATGATTTACCGTGCAACAGGTATTGGTTGTGTGTGAAGTCAGCATTTTTCTTCTTGAAATACCATACTTGAACATCCCGAAAACTTTACTGCTAAAGCCAATTCTACTGCAACTAACTTTTCAATTTTTATTTTGCTAGGATATTAAGCACTGCCAAGATTGTAGATCAGCCTGTAAATCAGTTAAGCAACAATTGCAGTCAGTTTAACCATAAAATTGGGAAAACAGAATCCCGAGAGATGGCTAAAGTGATATGACACTAATTAAATATCACAATCCATACTATTTGACAGTTTATTACTGTCCAAATGGTAGAATTGGCCACTGGAGCTTTATTTAAAGATGGCTATTTTATCCATTTTCCCAATTTGTATTCTGCTTCTATCCTCGCTTTATCAAATCACAAACCAAATTTATTCAAGTAAACCAAGTGAAATTCAGCAAGAGAAAGAAAACAAAGATGAAACACTGTTACAATGCAAGTGCTCTGAAATTGAGATACTGGATTTCATTTAACAGCCTATTTAATTTGACTAAATAGGCTGAAAATCCTTTATTGTATTAGGTGAGATTTTGTTTTCCTATTAAGCTGGATTTATTTAATACTGTCAGTTATACTAATACGAAAGAATAGTAAACTTATTTATTATGGCTGTATACCTTGAAAGTTTTAAAAGTGATCTAATCATCAAATGAGAAAACACTCAAAAATGATCAGGAAAACAAAGTCAAATATGCGCACAAACTAGTTTTTCTCCCAATAAATCATTTTTTTTCTTAAAATCCTGTTTATAATGTCTTATTTTGTATTGAGTTAAGTAGATTTTTTAAAAACCTGTACCAAAGAATTGTACCTGAAACTTCCAATACAATACTAATTCCAATAGAAACCTTCTCCAGAAATCAGTATCAGCAAGGAGAGGGAACCAGGAGGATTCAATACCAGCAAATTATCATAACCTGAAAAGGTGAAACCACACAACATTTTAAGGGTAATTTGTCAGTGGGTTAAAAGACTTTCTTGCAATGCCCCATTCTCACCTCCCCAAGCACTGGTTGGTGGATTAGCAGTCACTGTTGATTGCACTGGAGATGTAAAATCTGGCTGTAGATCAAGAAGATCACTGGATAATTTAGATGCACTAGAAGGGAAAAGAAAATATCATTAATAAGCATTAAAATTATCAAAATACTTCTTTCAAATTTAGGTATAAAATAGTTGTAACTATAATAACTAGTAACAATAATTTGGGCTCTTTCATTAGAGCAGACATTGGCCTAAATATGGTTTTAGGTCATATTCAAATAGATACATCTTAAAAATAATTTGCTGATTTCTAGTAAGACTCAGCATGTGTCACTTTTGGCAAGTTTAGTGGAGGGTTTTTCTCTGCAAGCTAGAATGAATTTTCTTCCCAAACTTGCCTCATTATCTATGCATCATGCCCTTCTGGCACCCTGGTCAGCGCATGCTCTCACTCACAGGTGGAAATACTGGTTATTGCTGGGATCTCCTGGGATCCCAAGCACTGGTGCCATCTTAAAAGCCTAGCTGTGCACCCAGTTAAGGGCTGGCAGTTTGCAGTTGCCCTGAGCGGTTTGTTTTATTTGCTCTACTTTGGGTGGAAGCGAATTGTCATCTCACTTTACCCATGGGATCTGCATGCAGTTGCTGCTCATGGAGCATTCCCTGAAAGGTTGGTAGTTGATGGCAATCTGGAGCAGCACATGACAACCTGGAGTTACCAAGCAACCACCTTGACTTTCGAGCCATCATTAGTCACCATCCAGTGTCTATACAGCTGTGGGAGAATGGGAAACTGTACATTGGTGAGGAAAGGTGATATAATAATAAAGATGTTGTTAACACATACAAATAGGCTACGTGACACATGAGTAAGAACCTTCACCATTTGCCTGGAAAAATGGGACTTCTGCTCTTAATAGCAGGATGGTCCTCATTGTCAATGTGAATTTTTCCAACTTTCCCACCAATGCCATGTAGTTCAGTGCCTGAGAAGAATTATCCCAACTGGAAAACAGCATTGCGAACACCATCATTGGTAGCCAATGAAACACTAAGCTAAGAGTATTTCAACTGCTATCTAATGTGCGATTTTCATGCCTTGATCTTAGAGGGGTGCAACAATTGCCACTTCTACCTGGGTACACCTATGTCTAAGAAGTGCTTCTGATAGGAGCACAATTGCATTCAAATGGAAAAATATTTCTTGGGGGTGGGGGGGATGTCAGCAGTGGGGAGGGACGGACGGACGGACGGGAGAAGAGGAGTTTGGAATTAAAAATGTACCTTTAAAGTTGTTTATTTCATTAAAAATTGGCAGCTGAGTGATATTCTTAGGTATACACAGCAGGAATGCATGATGTAAAATGTCTAAAACCAAATACTAAACCTAATTACTATTGAGTTAGATTCACAAGTTCAATGCAAACTCACTTAAATTTACAAACGGCATTCAATTATTTAGGTTAGGAATTAAGTAGTGGTGGGTCAAAAATGACATGACAACTTTGGACGCACTATACAAGGTCGCCAGAGGAATGGAAGATTAATTTTAATGTGGAAAAGCAAAGTGCTATACATGGGAACTCCACAAATGATATTTTAACAGGGATGAAACTGACCAAAGTACTGCAAAAAAATCAGTTAACTATCAGCTTTATCTGCAGAACAGAGATAAGGATAGGATGCAAACATCATGTATTATTGCTTCCAAACATTGCTTTGGCATTTCCAGTCAGGGCTTTAACGCCACCTGCAGAGGAAAGCTGGACTCCCCGTTTGTCTGATTCACCTGAACTTTCAAATATTGTGGGCACCATCACTGCTTCTGAGATACAGCATGATGGTGCTATAGTCAGCAAGCACAAGTAAATGGATGCCTGTTTAATTAGAACATGGGTTTCATATTAGTAGTTATGATGTTGTGTGATGTACTTTACTACCCTCCGCATCTTAGAAGTCTTGCTGCAAAGTTGTTCCATACTTTGTCCAGCTAATAATTTCTTTTACTACTGAAAACAAGCTCTTGCAAATATTTGACAGACTGGATTTTCAGTCCACATAAGTATCACCCATCTAAATTGGCTACATTCAAAAGAATTTGCATAGCCCATTTCACAAATGCAGGGTTTTCTGCGAACAGAATGCCTTCACAGACAGCAATGCCGCTGGAACTGCTTGAGGAATACAGTTCATAGAAAGCAATCTTTGCAATGCTGGAAAGAGCCATCTTGCTATGAAGAGCCATCAGCCTAGAGAAGAGTCCCAGATATTCTTACAATGTGCAAGTGTAAAAGATTATTTAAGAGTTTGTGGGCATTTAAATGTGGACACTAGGATAACACCAAGTGTGGATATCACCACTACATTTTTGTTAACATCACAACGTAGGGACCCATGCATCTGCATGTTGTTCCTTTGTGCAATTCTCCTCATTTAAAATTGTGAAGGACAACAGGAACCCCAATGGATTTCTTTCCTGCAAGTTTATTTGCAGCAGTAAGCAACAATACGAATTAAGGCTTGGTAAAGAAGCATCCAAGCAAAATAAAGCTGGGAGTAAAATACAGATAAATTAACAATCGCTGAAAGGAAAACATTTTGACATGGCTTTTTGCCTTGTATCATTGGGACAATTTGCAAAACTATAAAGAAAATGGAAAGCCAGTGTTTATACTGTATGAAAGGAGTGTATTAGCTGGTTGGCAAGTGAATGCTGATTGGCAGAGGTGTTACCATGGAGAATGTTGCAGTTAATAATTGACAGTTAACAGCCAAACTTTGTTTGTTTAGATCTGAAACCAGGCAGTTTGGCTGTGGTCGGTCAGGACTTTGCCTTTCAAAATGAACCAGCAAATGACTGTACCTACTTTGAGGAGTTGGAATAGATGTACATATTCGATCTACAAGTAACAGGACATTGTATTAGTATATCTAGCTCCAGTGCATACTTGTGTGCCACACTAAACTTGACTGACGATTCTAAACTGGTCCTCAACTTAATTCTTTCCACACTTGGGGTTATCCATCAAATGCTGTGCAACGGCAGATCACAAATAATACTGCAGAGTTTTGCAAAGGTGGTTTGATTGTGTACAAAGCTTACTTATTGTTAACTTCTAAATGGAATATGCTGCTTGAAAAAAAAATCCATTAGTCTTTGAAATGTACAACTTACAAACCTGGTAACATACAGGCTCTGAAATTCATCCACCACATTACTACATTGTATTATAGGCAGAACACAATTTGGTTTGATAGCAGTATCATGCTGGTGAACACTACTCGTGTTGCTACTGAATAGTAAAATTGTAAAATAGTTCACTTCACTGACTGCTTAAAGTTTAGAGATACTTCACATTCCAGAGTAATCTTAGGTAGACTGGAGAGACTTTTTTTAAAAAGTGAAAGGAGTTCAAAATGCCTTAGAAGTCTTTCATGAGTATGCACGATGTACATCAGGAAATGATCTGATCAGGACATTTTGATACACCTACTTTGTAACAAACGGGAGTGGCTTGGACAGTATTTTAAACTGCCTATAAAGGTGAAACTTTTACTGCAGAAAAAAACTGTAGGAATCCCAACATGTACAGTGTCCTGTGAAGGTAGGTTTGTGTTAGATAGTCATAAAGAACTCCCTGGCCAATTTCTCAACAAGGATATTAAAGAAAGGGAGCTGTGAATTCAAATGCAGAACGAATCCCTTTAGACATAAGGAAATTCTTCCTTGCAGCTGCAGATTCAAATATAGCAAGGCTATCATTAACATGTCAGAAATATGGAAGTAGTAGGTGGTTTGATGTCACCCCGTCAAAGACGCTTTTTCACAGAATTGAACAAAGATGTTTGCAACAGCTGGGCCTAATGGGGATACCATGACTACATCATCTATTTGGGTATACATGGAAGTGTTAAAAGTGGAACTCAATGCCTGGGTTGCTGAGTTCTAAGGACAATTAATAAATCGATTTACATAATGGTAACATGTTTAGACTGCCATCAGGTAGTGCTGCAGTGCAGATATTTATGACTTCTTTGATGCATTGATGAATAGGCTAGCTCTGCACTGCTATCACTATGCACATGTTGTATAGTCTTAACACACGAAGGAATCCTTCACCATGCAACTCAATCATTAACTGCTGCAGCTTCTAATATCAAGTACTCTACCAGAGTCCATTTGCCAACCAATCAGCACTCAACTCTCAGTACGAATGTTATTTTTCTTCTTTACTCATTCCTATGAACTGTCCTGATGACAAAAAGCTTTGATAAAATTTTCTGAATATTCAAGTTCTATCCCACCAAATGACTACAAGCAAGCTAATGGCATTAATCTATACGATATTAACACCACCACCAAAATAGCAAATTTTAAGTCAACATCTAGATCTGAAATCTTCCATCAACACATGAACTTTAACAAGATATGCAAATTACACATGAATGCAAGGGCAAATCAGAATTAATCGCCTGAGCAATTAGTGCAAGGGCAAGGCAACAGCAGGGTTCCAACTCATGGGCAATGTAAACTTCAGCAAGGACTCCGATTACAATTTCTGCTACAGAATTAAGCTCATGGTCAGGTCTATACCACTGCTTAGTTGGGTATTTTTTTCTTATTATGAAATGCAATGCACTGTTTTCAGCTCTGAACAGCACAATATTGAAATTTCCAAGAGCTTGGACTGAGGTGGGCCTCAAGTTTGGGACTAATAAGCCTTCCAATAGTATTTTTAATTTGAGAGCCTTGTTGAGAGAGTCAGCATGTTTTCCTCCACAGGGTATGCCATTTCAGCATCTGTTCTTCTTCTCACTCAAGGTCACAACACTTCAAGCAGGCTCACTACACAGGAACTAGGAATTTGCTTTTATTTATTCCCTCAGTTGCTCAAGGTTTTCAAACTTGATCACTTTTAGTTATTGCTAATCAGCTAACTCAGAACAGATGAAATTGCAATGTTTCGGATTCTGTGGCACTCAGTCTCACAACAGTCTGAATTAGAGTTTAGGATTCCTTGGAGTCTCACAACAGAGACCAGCTGAGTGTTCAACTCTAAAAGCATGGAGAGAAAAAGAAGCAGTTAAATATTTCAGATGAGCAGTTGTAATGAAAGGTTACTGACCTGAGATTTTTTCAATTCTATTTCTCCTTTCACAAATGGTGCTGTCAGATCTGCTGAGTATTTTCAGAATTTTTTGTTTCAGACATGCAGCATCTGTAGTTAGTTAGCTTTTGCAACACTTAGGTAATATTTCTACAGCTTACTGTATTAAAAACATTAACAAGCATCAAAATGAATTCTGCCAGGTCAGGCAAAATTGTTTTTTTTGATTAGAATGAGGGTGAAGCCATTCAATTCAAGCAATTTAGGATGCATCTTTAAACTTTACTGTTAGCAACAAACTGAATTTTCACGAGCAGTTTAAATCTTGGGTTTTGAGAACAATTAAATCAGCTGTTATGTGAAAGGGAAGTGGGTATGATCGCATAATTCATTTGATGGATAGGTCTGAAGTCCAAAGCTGTAACATAGGTTTATATTTGACAGCTTTTGCCTAGTTTTAGAATTATTTGAAGCCATAATGAATTCAGATGGGATAGAAATGCTAGTTAGTCAGCAGTAAACTACCAGAGGATGAGTTCAAAGATCAATTTTTGATTACTGATGCAAAATAGTGACTTGGCTATTTTCCATGCCAAACTTACATATGTATACAATCACAAAAAAGTTGAGCAGTGAACAGCAGCCTGCTAAACTATAAATGGAATAAATGTACTTGCAAACAGGTTGTGGCAAAAATGCTACTCTGACTTAAAAGAACAACAAAAGTAATGGTGTCATTTATCCACTGAGCAGAGAAAAGGTGACATGAGGAATCTGTTTCATACACAAACACTAGGTTGCAGAGAGTGGGAACTTACATAGAACAGTACAGCACGATGTTGTGCCAAACTTTTACCCTAAACCTAAGGTCTATCTAACCTCCACCCCTACCTCGTACTATCATCCATATGCCTATCTAATAGCCGCTTAAATGCCCCGAACGAGGCCGACTCCACTACCCTCTCCGGCAATGCATTCCATGCCCCTACCACTCTCTGGAGTAAAGAACCTACCTCTGACGTCTCCCCTATATCTACCTCAAATGAAGATGCTTACACATGATGAATTGTGACGCTTAACTGAACAGAAATATCTAACAAAAATTCAAAACATAACACTGACAGGTTAACTCCATGTGCAAAAAAGTACAAGTCATTTGCTTATGACTTTAAAAAAACTTTAGAGTCCTAAATAATAATTCAAACTATGTGGGGGGAAAAGCAAATGGAAGCACTCCAGCAACACAGTTAAAAGGTACTCAACATAAAAACACCCACATGCACTGTTTGCTTACAAACAACTGAAAGAACAAAATATTAAAATGTTGCTCAAAATCTTTCCATGAAGTGGAGGGTCTAGGCCCGAAATGTCAGCCTTCCTGCTCCTCTGATGCTGCTTGGCTTGCAGTGTTCATCCAGCTCTACACCTTGTTATCTCACAAGCAATCCTGGTCTTTTTCAAGTACTGGATTTGCACCATTTCTAACTGCATAGGATAAATTTAATCTTTACTCAAACTACAGCTAAAGTTAATCTAAATTAAGCATGCTAACATTGAGAAGTTTCAAAAGAAGAATTGATATTTTAAATGATAGGCACCCTAACTAAATCTGAATTTGTCTAAATTGGTGAGTTTCACCTTTACAATCATTACATATAGTAACAAATCACAGCACAGAAGGAAGCAACTTGACCTATCATACCTGCACTGGATCATTACCAAGTGCCAGTCTGCTGCTTTTCTCCCCATACCCTTGGGCATCCTTTTGATCTAAATAATCACACAATGCCTTTCGAATGCCTCAACTGAACCTGCTTCTACCACACTCCTAGGAAGTGCATTCCACACCCTAACTACTTGCTGAGTGAATAAGTTTTTACTCATTTTACCTTTGCTTCTTTGCAGATCACTTTAAATTTGCATCCTCTTGTCCTTTTATGAGGGGCAACATTGTCTCTCTATCCAGCCTGCTCATGATATTGAAAACCTCCCTCAGACCTCCACTTATACTTCTCTCCAAGCAGAACTGTCCTAACTTCAATCTATCCTTAATTTAAGTTCCTCAACCCTGGAACCATTCTTGTAAAGCACATCTGCACTCTCCAATGCGTTCTTATCCTTATTTGGTGTCTAGATCTTACACAATCCCCCTGCAGGCCCCGTTCCCCCACTTAGATATGTAACCCTTATCTTATATTTTCATCATACAACATGAATGAAATAGATATGTTTCAAGCTGACAAGTAGCTACACTCATTTTAATAAGATGAAGAAGCATAGAGATATCAAGAGCCAAAAGTCCAGTATTAAGAAAATTTTTCAACTCCACAGCAGACTTACTTTGTTGGAGCTACAGAGGGTGGGGGTGAAAACAAATCGACTACTGCGGACGTATCGGCCATCTTTGCTGGACTACAAGTGGGGGATGATCCGGTGTTTTCTGGTGAACCCTAGAAGGAGACAGGTACAGAGAAAAACAAACATTCTTGGAATAAGTAGTAAAATGTGTTTCTTGGCATGTTCAAGTTCAGAATTTATTATTATTATTTGCACAAAGTCAGATTTGTCCATACTTTAAATTAACTGTGTTTATAGAGTAATTTTAATGAAAGGAAAATTTCTAAGCATTTCAGCTCCATTATCTGTGCATAGGACAATGGTTCTGAAAGGGAAATGTTGGAGACAACGCTGACCCTCACCCAATCTGATAAAGCCATAATGGCTTGATTGGGAATAAGACAGAACACTAAGATCTCGTGGACTTCAGACATATATCCTAGGATGTCCTCAGAATGTGAGAGCACGAGACAGACAGACACAGAGACAGAGAAAGTGAGTGTGCAAGCATGACAGAAGTGGGCGTACACAGGGACTGTGGGAGCATGACCACTGCCAGTGTTGAAATGGGTACAAGGGGGAGGGGTCAGTAGAGAGTTGGGATTCAATTTATTAGTTACCCAACAGTTGAGAGTTGGTTTTTAATCCTTTAGCTTTTTTCCCCCGACCCCTAAGAACTTTCAAGTTTCAGCAAGATAGAAGAGAAGGTTTTGGTTGGTTCGAAGGAAATGTTTAAAAGGGTTATAGATGGAGACTATTGTCACAAGGAAAATGCCATTTCCCAGGCAAACCTGTTAAGTCAGCTGCATTGGGATTTCTGCATGAACCAAATGCACAACTCCGAAGGTTGATATAAAAGGGAGAGCGTCAGTGCCCTTTCAGATGGAATACCGTAGCTAAAAGGTATAGAGCAGCCCACTGAGATGCAACTACATGCTCCAGCTGGCATAACACTCAGGATTAAAACTATATTACAATTAACTGCAACACAAAATTGAGCATACATACATGAATTACATCAACATTTCTCATTTACACCTGCATGCAAATCTTGACCTCAACATCCTATAGGGGGGGTAGCAGAAGCTGTTCAAGTAGTTCTAAGTGACAATTAACAAGTCAACAGAAACCAATATATACCAAGTCGATTTGATGGGAAGCCAGAAAACATCTGGTTCAGGAATGAACTGCTGACAACAAGGTGCAGAGCTGGATGAACACAGCAGGCTAAGCAGCATCGTAGGAGCAGAAAGGCTGACGTTTCGGGCCTAGACCCTTCATCAGAAATGGGGGAGGGGAAGGGGGTTCTGAAATAAATACGGAGAGAGGGGGAGGCGGATAGAAGATGGATAGAGGAGAGGATAGGTGGAGAGGAAACAAACAGGTCAAAGAGGTGGGGATGGAGCCAGTAAAGGTGGGGAGTTAGGGAGGGGATAGGTCAGCCCAGGGAGGACGGACAGGTCAAAGGGGCGGCATGAGATTAGTAGGTAGAAGGGGGGGGTGCGGCTTGAGGTGGGAGGAGGGGATAGGTAGGAGGAAGAACAGGTTAGGGAGGCGGGGACGAGCTGGACTGGTTTTGGGATGCGGTAGGGGGAGGGGAGATTTTGAAGCTTGTGAAATCCACATTGATACCATTGGGCTGCAGGGTTCCCAAGCCGAATAGGAGTTGCTGTTCCTGCAACCTTCGGGTGGCATTGTTGTGGCACTGCAGGAGGCCCAGTATGGACATGTCGTCTGAGGAATGGGAGGGGAAGTTGAAATGGTTCGTGACTGGGAGGTGCAGTTGTTTATTGAAAACCGAGCGTAGGTGTTCTGCAAAGCGGTCCCTGAGCCTCCGCTTGGTTTCCCCGACGTAGAGGAGGCCACAATGGGTACAGCGGATGCAGTATACCACGTTGGCAGATGTGCAGGTGAACATCTGCTTGATGTGGAAAGTCTTCTTGGGGCCTGGGATGGGGGTGAGGGAGGAGGTATGGGGGCAGGTGTTGCACTTCTTGCGGTTGCAGGGAAAAGTGCTGGGTGTGGTGGGGCTGGAGGGGAGAGTGGAGCGGACAAGGGAGTCACGGAGAGAGTGGTCCCTCCGGAAAGCAGATAAGGGTGGGGAGGGAAAGATGTCTTTGGTGGTGGGGTCGGATTGCAGATGGCGAAGTGTTGGAGGATGATGCGTTGGATCCGGAGGTTGGTGGGGTGGTAGGTGAGGACGAGGGGGACTCTTTTTGGTTCTTATTGCGTGGACGGGGTGGGATGGATGAGCTGCGGGAAATGTGGGAGACATGGTTGAGGGCGTTCTCGACCACTG